AAGTCGCCCGTCGGGGTTTTGTCCACGAAGTCTTTCAGGTTTATGCTTGGTGGAGGAATCCAAGCTTTAGAATGTGTGACCAACGTGAATGCAGACACAAGGATCGCGAAGAAAATCGTAGATCTCTTCATTGCCACGATGAAAAGATGTTTCCTCCTTTTTTCGTTTCCGCCAGACAGAGGCTTTAACGGAGGAAATATACCAGAGACACTTGACAAAAATAGAAGCGAGAATCGCCCGAAGAAGTGAAGTGTGACACGCGAGTTCCTTGCTTTGACAAGTATATCCGGGGTATTTAAGATCTATGGGATCATATTTGATAATATATGCCTCGTGATTGCATATCTTCATTCATCGCGGTCTCAAAAGATAAGAGAATAAGTCGTTTGAATGAGTATACCAAGAATAAGGACTTGTGGCATGTTCCAACTGGCTATGACAGCATATAGTGACCTGGATGCTGGAAATTCTCCACGGGAGGATTTTTTGGTCTAGAGTTGCCATCGAATAAATGAACAAAAGATTTGGATCCATAAAAAAATACAGGTGAACTTCACTGAGTCCAATTTTTTTTTCAAGTCCTTGTCTGGATTCCCTTAGATATTAAAAACCTCCATAACTCAAAGTAGTATTCTCTCAAACCTCTGTAAGTCAAATTTTCTGAGGCCTTTTGGTCATTATTTCCTTGAAATATATTTGAGAAAATCAACAAAACAAATTATTTTATGCATTTTGAAATCAAGTGAAGGACTAATTGAACAAATGAACCCCTGCCCACAAGTCAAGCAAGCTGTAAACTCATTAAGAAGCAAGTTTAGGCCCAGAATGTCCTCATCTACATTCCCCATTTTCCTTGCAGCAAAAATATTTGTTTCCTTTCCTCAAAAACTCCCCAAGTCAAATTTTTTTTCCTGGTCCCTAGAAATTTGACTTAGAGAAGTTCACCTGTATTGTGAAAAATAAACTTGAATAAAATCTTAGTTTTCATATGGAGAAAGGCTCATCATTTCCTCACAGAAATTCAACTTTGTATATAATGCTGTACAAAAGTTTTCAAACGTGGGTATAATCTAATCATTATTATAAAGTATTTCTTACGCAACTTGTACTAAAGTTGGTTTTACGCATAGAAAAGAATATTGTACACGCGTCTGCTGAATAAAAAAGTCATGATAAAGGTCGAAAACATTAACCACATTTATTCCAAGAAGTACGTCAGGCATCTTGAACACAGCTTATTCTTCGGACGGAACGAGATCAGTGCAACATACGGTATTATAAAAAAATCTGTGCATCACCAACATTTTTTTGTTCTGTTTCATGTCTTTTTGACTAGTCAAAATTTGAACATTCGTTGCAGGTCATTGTGCACCAACAGTAGGGAATGCGGATGCGACGTTTCCTTCTTTGCCGACAACGACGTGACAGAAGACTTTGTTTTCAGCAAACAAATGGTTCCCGAGCCATTGGACGCAAAGGTACACCGGAATGAAGAACGCCAAGTACTGGACCCAGGCCCACTTGAAAGATTCAAATAAGCCGACCCAGCGCTCAAACTTTTCCTCTCTGGGGTACTTGACTAGGATCGAAGCTTTTATCCGACGAGGAATATCGGGTCCATCATTGACTATATCGACGTATCCCAAAACTTCTTCATACCTGGGAATGATAAATTTATCAATTTAGAAATAACCACACGAGTTATTATTTTTCTATGCAATTAAAATCGCGGAACCACTCGCAACCATCTTAACTCTTTTTTCCATTAAATTACAAATTTTCTTCAAGGTAAAATGACTAAAATCGTCGAATAGCGTACATTAACTCCAGTTATATTACTGTATAATATTACAACCCAGCAATGGAGACGTTTTAAAAGTTTAGCGTGTTTATAGCGGCTTTTCAGATCAACATCCAATTTCAAATTTTTGCCACCAGGCTCAATTTGGCATTCACGTCACGCTTCCTGACGATTGAAGATTCTGATTTAGAGCAAATGGATTGCACCTGAGAATAAATTATGAGCTCATATGAAGTAAGATGTAATTACCGGGGGAAAATGGCCAAATTATTGATCACGAACAAATTTCGATTCAAAGAGTAATCACTCGATTTTCGAAGATGCTTCCGTCAGCAAATAATACCTGCCTTGTCTCAACCTTTCATTTGAAATTAAGAGTGAATCAAAGCAGTCATAAAAAAATTCCAAGAACAAACTCGTCAACATTTCAACATGATTTGAACGTCTGAGATTTGATTCCTGAGACACAACGCCGATCGGCTCAAATTCGAACCTCGTAATTACGCTGTTGTTTCCGGAAGTCAAGTAGCCAACAGCGAGTTCCCTGAAGTCCACAGATGGCGCTTGCAACTGACGCACAGGAAATGCATTTTCCAATCGGAAGGAAGTCATGGGATGTCCGGGACTCGGAAGCGGGATAAACTGGTGTGTGCTCAGGAACCCAACAGTCTTGAATTCGTATTGGTTAGGAATCGTTCGGCTGCGACGGGTATTCAAAGGCGGTGACTGCACAAATGCCAGGGCATCCATTGTCAAACGATGTTGATCCTGAATGAATAGACAAAACAGAAGGCTGTATTATGATATACAGTACAGTACTTAAACCTCGATAAGCCGCCACCATTTGTTTTTTACGTTTGTGGCGTTGTAGCTGGGACTGGTGGTTTATCAGAAA